ACATGTGGTAATGCCAAAAAAACAGTTAAAAATACACACCTGTAGATCAGGGGAGAGGTCCAGGTTGGAGATACAAATTCAGAAGATACCAGCCATAAAGATGATAGGTGAAGCCAGAGTTTGGAAGAGATTTCCCAGTGAGAGAATGTGGAGTATGATGAGAGGATGCAGGACCAAGCCCAGCTTACCTGCTATGTAGAGGAGACTGAGAACAAGAAGGCAAGCCTAAGCATGGAAGTAAAGGTGCTGAGGAAATACATGTGCTTGGTGGAGGAGGGATGGTCTAGGATAGAATGCTGCAGACAGGCCAGATGTGAGAAGCAAGATTTCCCTTGGGCTTAGTGGGTTGGCATCTCCACAGACCACTCAAGGTTCTTGTGTGGGTTCATGGAGCTAGACCAGTGAGTGTGCGGTGGGGAAATGGAGACATCTCTTCTGATAAATTTGGTTGTTTATCTTCTTTGCATTTGTTTTTTTCTGTAGAATTCATTGCCAGTAGAGCAGAGGAAGGCTTTCCTAACAGAAAAGTAATGAAAATCCTACCACACTGGCTTGCATTCATCCCCGCAACCCAAAAGCCCCAAACTGCAGTCATGTACTTTCTACAGCAATGTGTTAAAGTTTTGTATGCCCCAGTCCTTCAGAATCTTACTGTTTTCATCTGATTTACCATTTATTGAGACTCAAAAAACACTACAAATTTTTAAAAGTGGCCAAATTTAATTTCATTGAAATGAGAAACTGCCAGGCTGAGGTTGTAGTTTAATTGGTAGAGCACTTGCCTAACATGCATAAACCTGTAGGCTCCATCTCTAGAACTGAAGGGGTGGCAGTGAGGAGGAGAGAGGGAGGATGGGAGGCAGGGAGGGTGGAACAGAAAGAGAGAGAGTGAGAGAGAGACTTTGTTAACAAAAAATGAAAAGACAAGCTACCTATGGGACTATGGGAAGGAAGCATATGTGTTTTTGTCTGAAATGACTGAATTGAGCTGGTATCAGAACTTATAGAGAGGACTTAAAATTCAAAAACAAGAAGACGTACAACTGAATTAAAAATGAACCAAAGACATGAAGAGATATTTCACAAAAGAAGGTATACTAATAGGGAGAGGGGAGGAAGGGGAGGGAAATGGCAATTAAAACAAAGAGTTGAGGGGGCTGGGGATTTAGTTCAGTGGCACAGCACCTGCCTGGCAAGTACAAGGTCATGAGTTCAATTCCTGGTACCAGAAAAAAGCCAAAAAATAAAAAATAAAAATAAAAATAAAAAAGAAAGAGTTGAGATGTGTTATGCCCCTGTACTAACTACTCATGAATAATATGATGATTATGTACTGCAAACATGTACTAGCCAGGTGTGGTGGTGCACACCTGTAATCCCAGCACTCAGGAGGCTGAGGCAGAAGGACTGCCATGAGTTTGAGGCCAGCCTGGGCTACATAGTGAGTTCAAGGCCAGCCTGAAGTACATAGCGAAACCCTGTCTCAAAAAAACCATAAACCAAACCAAACCAAAACAAAAACATTTCATAATAAAAAAAAATTGAGAAAAAAGAAGGTATAAATTCTCAGGCCAATGAGCATGAGAAATATAATATTAGTATAATGTAATTTAAGATATGCAGTGGTAACATTCATTAGGAAAATGCAAATTAAAGCATACACTGTTACTGCTCTGGTATACTGGTTAACTGATTATGTCAACTTGGGAAGTCTAGAAGCATAACTCAACTTGGCTCAGCAATTGGCTCAGCAATTCTACACCCTAGGGTGTAGAGGAGCCACCCTAGGGTGGATCATCACCTAGATAATATAAAAGGGAAATGAAGAAGGACAGAGGTACTTCCATTCCTTTTGGAGGAGCTCCAGTCTTCACCTTCAGCTTGAACTTAGTCTCCTGGCTTCTAGTGCAGACTCTTCGGCTTCCACCTTGGATCCTTCAGCCTTCTGTAGCAGACTCATCAGCCTCCTGGTACGGACTTGCACGGAACACTGCAGTGAACTCCAGACCCTGGACTGATTCCTTCGGTCTTCAGTGTGCAGACACCCTCTGCACACTTCCCCATACAACTCTCTGGCCGACTGTCATAAGCCAATCTTGTAATTTCTTATAATTTGTATATCCTGTGTTATATCTGTTTCTCTGGTAAAACCCTGACTGATACACCTGGTCTCCAGGCATTCCTCAGATGTCCCAAGACCCCTCTGACATATATCCTTGACTGGCTTCCCACTCCACCTTGTTCTTTTACAGACATCCATATAGCCCTGCTAGGGCCAGCTGTAGGGGTGCTTGGCTGCTTCCTGTTACCCTTGCTCATATCAAGCCTGCTGTTTTTCCCCCCTTGTGTGCTGCTGTCATGTGATGACGTGATGGTTCCCTATGGTGTAGCAGTCAGTCTCCAGTGTTCCTCTCTCCTGCTCTGTGTTCCCCCCTGATAAAGAGGACCCACCCATCTACCCAGTAGCACATTACTGACATGATGTGTGTGCTTCCAAGACTAGGTTATAAAAGGCACCACAGTGGCTTTCACCTGGCTGTTGGGGAGAGGGGTGCTAACCAGATGCCATGCTATGAAAATGTCCAAGGGACCTTACAGATTGATCCATGTGGCCAGGAATTCAGGGCCCCAACCTATCCCTAGCACTGCTTGTCCAACATGTGCCATCTAGATTACTGTGTCAGAATCTTCCAGCCTGTGGAACCTTTCTGTGACTGCAGCTCTGGTTGACACCTGTTATGATTTATATCTAGTTGTCCCCTCCAAACCTCATGTGCTCAGAGGTGGGACTTTTGGGAAGTGACTGGATCTAGGTGACTGGATCTAGGTGTATGATACTGGGACTAAGGGTGTGTGGTACTAATTTAGTCCACTGATTGGATTACCATAGTTCTGGGATTGGCTGAATGGATTTACTGAAAACAGAAGCTCTACCTTGTGTGTGGATGGCACCAACCAACAGGTTTGTAGCCTGGATGGGATAAAAGGTCAGCTGCTTGCTGTTTGCTGCTTTCTGCCTGCCCTGCCATGGACTGTTTCTCCTCTGTGATGCCCTTCTGCCATATTGCCTTGCCTTGGAGCCAGCCAACTATGGACTGAAACCTCTACAAAATGTGACCCAAAATAAACCTTTCCTCCTTTAACTTGTGGGTATTGTGTGTTTTGTCTCAGCAATGAGGAAGTAACTAAGTCAACAGCTGAAATCATTTGACAAGATAAATAGCTAGGTCTGAAGATTTTAATGTTTTGGGACAATTTGTTATGCAGCCATTATCCGATAACAAATACAGAAGGGAAAGAATATGTAGCTCCTACCTGGTCTTCGATTGCAGCCACATTTTGCTAACTAGTGAAAGCTTGTGTTTTGACCCCTTCAATCTTAGGGTGTTTATCCTCCAATTCTGAACCAGGAGAAAGGGGAGGAAAGAGGGAGTGATACCAGGGGAAAACAAACTGGAGTTATTGATGGGAAAGTGGTCACCAAAAGTGCCAGGATCTCCTTCCTTGAGGCACACAGCCCCCTGGAAATGACAGAACTTTCTAGGAGGGCAGTTTCTCAGGGCAAGCTTGGAAGAGCTTCTCCATAGCCCCTGTCTGGTTTAAAACTGAGCTGCTCGAAAAATATCCAGAGGCCCCACAGAGAGGTAAAATGAGGAAAACCCCAAAGATAAACACCCGGAAGACATCAGCTCTCTGGAGAGCAGCCCTCTGTCCAGATCAGAGCAGTATGGGCAGAAGGAATCTTGGACGTTGAATGATGATTTTATCACCCAGCCCAGGAAAGGGGTGCACCTCCTCCACTACCTGCAGCTCCTGGTCAGCTCCAATCCGTCCCTGTCATCTGTATGAGGAAAGAGAAGAGTGTAAAATGTTCGCGGGACACTGGGACAGAGGCAGCTAGAGGCCTGAATAATTTGAGCAGGGGTGAGGCCAGCTGGCTCAGGCGATTTGCCAGCAGACCACCGCTTGAGAACTTTGGTTTCCTGCCCTGTCTGAAGATGTGAAGAGCAACTCTATGGGCAAACTCAGAGTCCCTGGGGTCTGGCACAAAGGCCAGGGCTCTTCTTAACTCATCCCAGCTAACAGGGCAGTGCTCCAGAAAAACAAAAACAAACAAACAAGCAAAAAAGCCCAACACTAAACAAATTGCCTGGTAGTCAGTTAAATGATAAATCTCACCAAACAAGGAGAATCCAAATCCTTTCTCCAGTGGAGGAAAAACAAAGAAAATTCCTGAGTTACAAACAGGAGAACCAGGCCTTGCAAACCCAGACCTTCTCATGTGCTAAGCAAAACCAAAAATAAGCAAGAAAATATGTTATTTGAATTGCGTTCAAAATGTCTTTTACAAGTGAAGCAAATTACTTCTGCATGGTCTGGGCACTGCAGGCAACAAATAGTGTTCTGTCTTTAATGGGTAAAATGACACAATTTGCTTTTAATAGTAAACCAACGGCCAGTGGCTTCAGATAGCATCGCGCTCCCGAGGCCCCCTCCGGGCAGCTCCGCTCCAAGCAGCTGGAGCATCCGCGAGCCTCGACTGTCCTGCGGCAAGGAGCCAGCGGGGACGAAGCCAGGTTCTCTTCTCAACATCTCAGCGAGCCTTCACCTCGCTCCTTCCGAGTTGAGAGTTTCTGGGGCCAGGCGGCTTCATGACGTGACCCGCTGGTGATCGGCTGTGTGAAGTGTATCCTGGAGTTCCTGCTTTTCACCTAGGTCCCTAGGCATCCCCTCTCCTGTAGGTGCGTGACAACTCTTGGGGAGGCCCTGTGTCATGGACCGCGTGGGGGAAGTCCGACGAGACCCAAGGCGCAACCTTTGGATCTCAGATTCGCTAGGCCCAAGTAGGGGCCGGGTGCAGGAGGGGCTTTGGCGATCCGAGCGTCCCGCGCGTTCGTCCGGCAGAGGGCGCCAGCCCGGGCCCAGTCTGCCCAAGGGGCGGGCAGGGAGGGGACAGCGCTCCTGTGAGCCCGCCCGCCGCGGTCCGCCCCTCGCGCTAGTCTGCGGCCGGCGGGACGCGGAGTCCGCGCCCCGAGCCTCCCGAGCCCGCCCGTACCGCCGGGGGAGCCCAGCGGCTCCCTTGCACCGGAGAGGAGGACCACGGGAGAAGGAGCAGCCCGCGTGCAGAGAAAGGGCTGGCGCGCGGCCCTGCACCCCCGCCCGAGGTCCGAAGCCCGCGCGCAGCGGAGGGCGACCTGGCTCGCACGACCCGCAGCATGGCCCGGGGCTCGGGGCTGCCGCCGCTGTGTGCCCCGACGGTCTGGGCGGCCGTCGCGCTCCTGCTCTCCCCGCTGCAGACCTCAGGTAGGACCCGGCGCACTCTCCGCGCACAGGCGAGGGCTCGCGACTTGCGCCTGGTGCAATCGCCCCTTCCTCGGCTCTGCTCTTCGGCCGCCGAGCTGGCGCCCGTACTCCCGGGTGAGGGGCGCCAGCAGGGCCACAGGGCGCCGGAAAGGCCGTGCGGACCCGCCCGGCGCCAGGCTTGGTCCTGCACCACGGCCCGCGCCCTTGGCTGCCCGGGGCTGGTTCCAATACGCTGCGCTGGGGCCGGCAGTTTCCAAAAGCGGGGGTGAGGTGGCTTTTGGAGGGGCTGAGTACGAGAGTGCAGCTGCGAGCGCGGGTGTTGCCCTGCCAGGGCCGGTGTCCGCAGATGTGCCCATGGGTCCCGGGCCCCGGGCTCTGTCACTCCGCCCATGGTTGACCCTTCCAGGGCACACAAATCCCGGTTCCCTGATGCCCAGCGCGCGGCGGCGGGGGTTGGACGAGAATCCTGAACCTCTTGATGGAAACGCTGGCTTCCCTTTCGTAGGCCCTTAAATCTTTCCTGCCCCGGGGAGGCCGCCTAAGCTGTGCTTCTCTTGGGGACGTCGGAAGTTTCTGGGCGGTGGGGGAGCCCAGCTCCACCCACAGATTTCAGGACGCTGGAGGCGAGTGGGGGAGCTGGGGCAGGGCGGGCTCCTTCGCAGCTCTCCTTGGAGGGACACTCGCGACTTCCCAGGAGCTATGCGGACTCGACTGCTAGGACTCAGGGCGTGAGATTCCCAGGGGGGCGCAGAGGAGGTTTTCCATGGGGGGCCCGAGGGCACCTGTGTGGGTGCCGGGGAAGAGGCCCCTCTGGCCCTTGCGGTGCAGACCCCGGGAGCACCGAAGGGTTATGCTCTCCTGGCGGGATTCCGGGCACCCTGCCGTGGAGCGGAAGGGCGGGCGCGGCCTTCAGGGTTGGCAGGATTAGAGACCATTGAGGTTTGCGTTAGGTTCCAGGACTGTGAGACGTTCCTGTATGTAAACACGTTTCAGTATTCTTGGTTACCTTCACATTCCTGAAAGCGGGTGGGAATTAGGGGGAAGCGGGGAAGGGGGCCGCTGAGCCCTTCCGGAGTCCTGCTGTGCACTGCGCGCTCTAGGTATCCAGTTTTCCTGCCCTGGCCGGCCCCACTCTATCCTGGGGTGGGGGTGGCGTTTGGGTTTAGGCAGATGCTGATTGCATCAGACGTTCTTGGTTACTTAAATCGGGAAAGGAGTTTGTATTTAGATCCCTGCCCATTTAAATATAAGCAGTTTAGAGTGCACGACAGGAAAGTCATATTTTAAGTTACTGCCTTTCACTAATGACCTCTGCGTTTTGGACCCTCTTCCCAGCCCTCGCCATTTGCAAAACGCCTTTACACTCTTGAGATCCTTTTGCTAGGAGGGCGGGTTCTTAAACATTGCCTGTTGTACCTGCTAGTGCAGAGGGTGTGCTGGTGGTCACTCGGTGCTTAATTGACCAGCAGTAATTCAGCCTCAGGCACCCTATGGCTGGGGCAGCTTCGGATGCATCTGGGGCAGTTACTGTAGTGAGGGGACTTGGGCTGGAGGGTGAGGGAGGCAGGTGCATCCATTGCCCTAGTCAAGGTTGTAGGGCAGTTCATTATATTTTGGGTGGAGGAAACCACCATTCCCAGGGGAAAGTAGTAACTGGATGACGAACCAAGCCATCCAGGGTCGTTTTCTGTGAACCTTAATTGGAGCAAATTTTCTTTTTCTAGTGAAATGACACTCTATAGAGGAAGGAGCAGGATCTAATTCTCTTCTGAATTGGGTAGGTTAACGGATACCTCAAAGCATCTGATAATTCTACTCAAAATATGAATAAAGTGATATGACCACAGATTTGGGGGTTCACGATTTTTTGTGTTGCAAAGAGGAGCTTCTAATTTGAATGTGTTTTATACATGAGATAATTTACTACGTAAAAACACTGAGAGGTTGTTGTAAAGGATTTCTGTGTTCTTAGTCTACATTTTTACGGGAAGTCTGTTTGGTACAGACACCAGTACCTGATTTGAGCCCTTGCTGCCCTTCTAGGTAGGATAGGTTGCCAGTGACAGAGTTTAGGGTCCTCTCTCAGATTTTGATGGTGCAGGGTTCACTTCTGGCCCAGATCCCCAGAGTAATGGTCATAATAATGATATTGATTCATCTAGAGGAAAATAAATGAGTACATGTTGTGTAGGCCACTGTGGAAACAAAAATATTTGTGTATATAGTAAGGCAAAATGTTTTTCTTATTGTGGCAGGTTATTAAGCAAAGAACTACACATTTGAAACTTTTCAGTATTTAACAGTGAGACTGAGTTGAGCCCTGGCCTCCACTTGAAGAATGTCACCCCAAGAATCTGGGCACCCCGTGAGTGGCACACTCAGTGTAACTGAGAGGTGCTTTATATTAACTTATTTTTAGCTTTTTGCAGTGCTGGAGGTAGGACCCAGAGCATGCTAGGCAAGCGCTCTGCCTCTCAGGTCTACCGCAGCTCAGGGCTGCCTTTTGATTAGGAAAGTAAGTTATGGTTAGATAACTGACAAGAATTCTGCTTAATATTTTGTGTGTGAGAAAGCAACATGTGTTTAAAACACACTTTTCCCTGGGGTAGTTTTGGTGACAGGGTCTGCAGATTGATGAGGCAATGTGCAACGCCACTTCTATTTTTTGTTAAAACATTAGTCCTATTGTGTATGCCAATTGCAGTTGTAACTGGTGTTTCTGCATCCCTCTCTATTACAGTGTGACTTGTAGTGAGTCACTTCTTGTGCCTTAAGCATTTAGCCTAGACTTAACCTCGGGGACTTTTAAAGCTTGGCAGACCTTCAATTTTACGTGGTTCTTCCTTTGGAATCTCTTTTTTGGATAATAGTGAAATAGATATGCAGAGGAAGAAACTACTCCTCTGCAAGGTGGGAAGATTAATCCCCTTTAGGAAGATTTCAGCTTGAGAACTGGTGCTCCTTTAAAATGCATTCCTTGGAAGGCTGGGCTGAGAAGAGGCATCCTTATCATTGTAATGAGAGCTGGGTGTGAAGTGCCTGGGCTCCCTAAGGCAGGACTCAGCTAGCCTGATGAAGTGCCATGAATTTGTGAACCCTTTGAGTCTTTTCCTTTGGAGAGGTCTAACTATAACTCCAGGCTGTATTTCAGGGACAAGAAAGAGACTACTAAGTGCTATCCCCCCCCCAAGATTTATAAGCATCCGGTAAATTGGCATAGGCCTTCTGGTCTTTATCTGGTTTATTTCCTGGGAACCCAGAGCCTGGACTGTATTGGACACGCTCCCTGGCACCCCGGGCCTCACCTTGGTTTCATCTGCTGGGCCCCACAGGGGGCTCCCGAGGGCTGGCTTTCTTTACACTTGGGCATTGGCTGAGACTCTTGTAAGGAAAGTTTTCCTCAGGGCATTTCCTTCTTTGGAAACCCTGTGGTGACTGCCAAGTGGACCCAGTTTCATGCAGGCATGCCGAGTTTCAAAGCAAAGGAACCCTGGGCTTTGCTCAGGAGACATTGCACACAGGATCTGCATTTTTATTGACTGAATCCCCACGTGTGCTTGGTCAATAGCAATTTTTTGAAAGGATTGTTGGGCTAAAAGGGCTTGTTTGCAAAACATTACTCTGGGCTCCTTGGTTTTATATTGTTTCTCTGCTTTGGGGAAAAGTTAGGAGATCAGGGTTCTCCAGTTACAGGGTAAGAATTCAAGCAATCAGAGGAGCTGCAGCCCACTAATTATGGCTGTGACCGGTTGGGGTTTATACCCACCTCCGTTTTCGAGTGTGTATTTATTCGGTTTTGTTGAAGAACTCACCAAGGTGGAAATGAGGGTGGTACAGCTCTGCTGGCGTGTATAATTGTCATAAAGACTGTCCGGGGTGCAATCTCTTTAAAAACCATATTAACAACATGGCTACAGAGTGGTTGAACAATGTGGGGAATTTTCAGAAAGCTATTCAAAAATACGGAATTGTGTTGTTGTAACTTACATCACATATGGGATTTCCGGACATGTTCTCTTTTCCTGTGTCTTAACTTCGGAAGAATCAAAAAATTCAAATGCCAAAGGGAAAGAAATAATTACAGAAAAATTTAGCCTAATTCAACTAAGTACATAGCTCGTCTTTTACAAGATCTTGGGTTCCAGCGGGAAGTGCGAGTGTGTGTCTTTAATTGTGTTGGAATGAGCTTCGGTAAGCACTCTGTCACTTCTGAGATGTTATCCGGAGAAAGTGGCCGCTGCTTTGGTCTTCCAGGTGTTGGAGAGCCCCTCGCCCAAAGCTAATGGTTTCCACATCCTCCTGCAGGGAAAGTTAACACAATGTTCAGTTAAATTTGAGAGGCATTTTGGCCTTCATTGTAGACGTGCTGTGGGATATAGTAGCTGCTGAGCATATGCAGCTATTTAAATTAGAGTTAATTAAAATGAAAAGAAATGAAACAAACAATTTGTCCACCTTTTAGGAAGACACTGCAGGGTTCTGATGGGGATTGCACTGGATCTGGGGACTGTGCTAAGTGATACAGTATTCCCACCTTAATCACATTGTCTGTCTTTATGCTTGTTTTGATCTTATTTAATTTCTTTCAATAATGTTTTGTAGTTTTTAGTGCCCAAGTCTTTTGTATCCATTGAATCAATTCCTAAGAATTTTATTCTTGAATGCTATTGTAACTGAAATTTTCAACTCAATTTTGATATCATTATAACTAAAATTGCCGCCTTTAGTTTTTGTGTGTCGATTTTCTACCCTACCAGTTTGCTTAATTTATTAAGCTCAAGTAGCATATTTGTGGATTTTGTTTTACATGTGATATCATGTTATCTAAGAGATGGAGGGAGGAGACGGTGGGGACATCAAGGAATGTAAAAAAAAAAGTGTGTTATGTACATGTACCAACTCCCCACAGTGAATGTAATCAGGAAGAGGTACTATAAACATGTACTAATAAAAATAAAAATTAATAAAATATCATGTCTGCATATAGATTATTTTCCTTG